AACAACAGAACCTGTCGGCTATTCATAGTGTAACACTGATAATGGTTCAAGGCATGAGTTGGTATACCCCACAAAACATTTCACTTTCCCAACTTACAATGTTTGTGGCTGAATAGCTTGCATTTATCAGGAAAGCAAGTACAAAAATTCTACAATTAATTTAAAAATACAATGTTTTAGGGCAGAACAGTAGCCTAAATAACACTTCACTCAATATGTAAAGATGTTGGTACTATCGCTGGACTATTAATCCAGGGACTCAAGTAACATTCTGGGGACCTGGGTTTGAATCCCACCATGGCAGATGGTGAAGTTTGAATTAAAACAAAAATCTGGAATTAAGAGTCTAATGGAGATTATGACACCATTATTGATTGTTGAGAAAAACCTATCAGGTTCATTAATGTCCTTTAGGGAAAGAAACTGGCAACCTTACGTGGTCTGGTCTACATGTGACTCCATACCCATAACAACATAGGTTAACTCTAAACAATTAGAGATAGGCAATAAATATTGGCCCACCAAGGCTACCCACATCCCGTGAACAAATGAAAAATAACTTGAAGTTTTTGCTTCTCCAATTGTTTAGTGGAGTAAAATGTTCTGGAGCTGAGGTACATGGCTCTGGAAGGTCCCAGATTTTTTTTTTTATCACAGATAATTAGGCAATCTTAAAAAAAAATCTACATATCAGCTAAGAAAAGAGGAAGGACCAACTAAGGTTCCAGTGCCTTGTCTCTAGCCAGCAATCTTGGTTGGAAATGCTTTGAGGATGTCAAGATTGCTCTCAGTCATGATGTCTAGGCTAGCTGGATAGCTTACCTTTACTCAATATCTGGACATGCTTAATAATAACTATGGTTTAGCTGAGGTGCCAGAGGGTTTCTACTATCGATGGAACCATAACCCTGCAAGGATTCAATGTCTTCAGTAGAGAAGGGGTCAGAGATAATTGACAGAAAAAGAGAAACAAATGTGCAGATATTGCCTGAGTAATGTATTTGTACTCAGTTGTAAAATATATCCATGCGGGGTTTAAAATGCAGATGAGTGCAATATTAAGGAATCACACTGATGAGTAGTTGGCATTCTGTCGTTTCAAACTAAAAAGTTGAGATTTTAAGTTTACGAAATAACTTGATTATTCAATACACATAAGATTGTGTCATTACATGCAAGCACACTGATATTTACAGGTAAGTAAAATGAACTTACTAGTACACAATATCAATGTGCATAGTTATAAAACATTTTTTGTGATCTATGTTGGCACCAATACTTTTGTGTGCTTTCACCATTTTCTATTCAATTGAATTCCAGTTGTATTTCCCGCATATAAAATAAGGGCTGGTTAAATGTAAATGGTGATCCAAAAAAACAAAGCCACTTTCAGTTTAAGTGAACAGTAAGCAAAAACGATTTTTGGAATGAAAGAAGTACCGCTAAAATGTATTTTGAATTTAACTGCATATTATGTTGGTGGGTAAATCTTGAAAGGAAACTTTGAAGACAGTCTGACTGTTCCAGCTTAGAAAGTTTTACGCCTTTTATCAGGGAGTTCATGAATGAATGTATGTGCAATGCGGGACCAGGGAATTAGAATTACAAGCAGTCACTTTAGGAATGCATTTCCAAAATACTAGGTTGATCAGGTCTTACCCACAGTGCACAGAAGCATACTTGTACACATCTGTGCTGAGTGTAATACCTTCTGCCAGTTTTAGTCTGTATGTACACTTTACTCTTGATTGTAAAAGACAAAAACATGGTAATTAAGGAGTTTGTGAATAATGATAATTTGTCAATAATATATTTGAGCCAGCATTTCAGGAATGAATTGATTATGAACTGATTTAAATCAATCTGTAAACATACTACAGTTTTGTGGTTATAGGTCAATACTTTCACGGAAAATGTGAAAATCAAAACTTAATTTAATTAAAATCAAATCAAATAGAACAAAACAAAAAAAACAAAATGTGACATTAAAAGTTTGTCTAGGTTTTGCAAATATCTTAGAAAATATTTTATTATCTGAAGTGCAGGAAAGGTAGACAATGATATTTAAATTGAAATTAGTGAATAGTAAATTTAAAAGTTTATACTTTCAGACCTAGTAAAAAGTAAGAGAAAATTATATAAGAATCTTTACACTTGAAACTTTAAATGAATGCTAAGTACAATTTACAGATTCTAGAGGATCTGCTCACACAACACACCACTTTACAGCTGTGCAATAAAACTGCCTGTATATGCTCACTTGTAGCTATCCCTATCCCCCACAAAATATCTTCATGAGGATTTAGCAGTCATCAAGCAGTTGTATCTTTCTCCCCATGTGGCAGATTGACACCACTGAATAGGCAAGGAGAGGTGTGTGCTTTTGGGGTGTCAAGCAGCTGTCACAGATCTGTCACTTCTATAATGAAGGCAATCCTGGCTCACAACAAATTAAAGCACATTTCCTTTCAATCGGTGCTATTCAAGACCTAAATCAGTTCAAACACTCTAGCCATTTCATGTGCAAATAAAACAATTTGGTACATGCATGGATAAGAATGGCGACACACCAGGTAAACAGGGAAGACAACAAGCTGCCTCAAATCCTTTGAAATACTTCATCACCATCAATGCACCAACTTTCACCAATTGAGATTTAGCCTTGGGTTATGTAGTGAAAATCCATATCAAAGTAAAAAAAAGGAGTCAAACTAAATAAATTAGCATTTTCAACTATAGCTTGAAACATGCAGTGCCCCTTCCTGTGACTTAGAACATGTAAGAATTAAAAGATGCAGAGAGATTTCCATTCTTATTTGCCTTTATCACTATCTCCTTTATCACTTTCTCTGTTTTTTTCTACTCTCATCTCCCCAATCTTTCAAGAAGTGATCAGAAAGTAAGTAGTTACAGTATGCAATTTGCAGCAAGGTAAAAACAACTTATGGCCAAATGGTATGATCATCACTCTGACACTAGGTTAAAGATCTAAACCTAAAGTCTTAAATATATAGGAATGCATTAATAGAATTGTAATGATATAGAGTGAAATGAGCAGCGCAGAACAAATACATTTTACAAGAAACCAAAGCTCATTGTGAATAATTTTTCATAAAGCTCTTCATCTCCCTGCTGGTGTTCTGGTTGCTCAAATTAGTGCCCCTTTGAAAACAAATGGCAGGGGGTTTGATGTAAAAATGTTCATAGTTGAAATCACCAGGAAATAAAGGCTCTAAATTATAATACTTAATGAAGTGGTAAACCCTAACGGGTGCAAGATAAATGGGTTGTTATATTTGGTCTGTTTTGCGTTCGGAATGTTGCACTACTGTAACTAAAACTACAGTTATCATATTATCAAAATGTTAACCTCCCAACCTCATCCCATTATAGTGTGTAAATTAGAATTTTTTAATGGAACACAGTAAATTGGCTATAGCATCTGCCATCTGCCAGTAACTTAAACAGGCTAGTTTATCTAATCTCTTCAGTATAAACACTAGTGTACTTCATTTCCACACATCAACATGAGACGAAGTACATTCCCATTTAAGACATGGAAAATTCAATTCTGGAAAGTCAAATATGACCTCCTCCTAAAGTATTCTGGAATAAAGAGTAACATATTCCATTGTCATAAAATCGCAATTGTGATTGAAGTGCAAAACTAAAATGTTCTGATCATGGTTGGCAAAAATGAATCCTGAGAAAAGAATATAAATTGCTTTAAAATTTCGTCCAGTTGTTTTTCAGACTCCCTTACTAGATTTTGTTTTTTCCTGCCAAGACGCATTCAGAAATCTATTGTTGCTATAACACTGAAAAATACCTGCTGTGGTTATTTAAAATATCACCATAATGCTTTGCTCAGTTACAAGATACTGGTGAGCTTGAGAAGCAGAAGCTAATACTGCGATCTCCACTGTGACCAAGTAGATTTTCTAAGTACAATAATGCGACTTCTACACCTATAGCCTTTCCCCAGGTAGCCCTTTAGACGCAGCTTGGAGACAGTGAGATTTTTGAAAACTGCTGCACGTTCGACTCTGGGGAGAGTGCTTTAGAGCACTGGATGTACCTATCAGTGATGTCCCTGAGTGCGTCCAGTTGTCAGTCTCACGCGAGATATTCGCCATAAATATTTGCTTACACCTCTGTAGTATTTGCTTCCTAACGCGCACTGTAATCTGACTCCAGAACTGCTCCAAAATAAACGCTGGCGGTTTTGTGCTCTCAACCCACAGTTGTGAAGCTACTAACTCCTCATTGGGACACTAAACTGGGGCACAACAGGCCCATCAGCCCGCGTCTTGTCCGCGCAACAAAACAAACGTCAAACCAACTATCTTGCTACAGTTAAACTTCACAGCATCGTTAAAGCGAACCACTGCAAAGCCTTATATACGGTGCCTGTGTCAATTTAATCACAAGGTCCTAAACACATTGGCGAGTTATCGATCGGTTTGGATAAATGAACACAAGAAGCATTTCAATGCATGTGTGAACGCTTCCAAAACACAACTCGTTCTAACCACAGCCGAACACAACCTTAACCAGGAACACTGCGAGTGATTTACCGCCTGCCAACGCCTACATAATAACAGATATTGTTCCATACCGCCTGTGCCAAACTGCAGATTTCACCCTCTCTCCCCTTCGTAACCCCTTGTGTTCAGAAGCGCACAAAAAAATCAAGTCCCCAAAATCAGCCCCATCAGAGTTTTTAGGCTGTGGCCCCGCTACGGTGATGAACACTGAAATCACGGCATGTGAAAGACTCGGGAGTGCAAAAGTTAAGAAGGGCTCACTTCAGTAGGCCTTAAATGTGTCTAAAATGTTAACCACAAGCCGAAACATTTGCCTAAGTATTTACTGCAAAACAAAACGGGGCTAGATCCAACCCAGAAAGAAAAGATCCAACACAGGTAAACAGCCGCGAGAAAAAGAAACCAACATAGCTCAGCAACCCAGCGCTATGAACACATGAAAACTTCACTCACATGTTCTGCAAGATTTGTCGATGATCCGGACAGTTCTTCGTGGTCAGATTTGGAACTTCCATCTCGCTCGTCGATGACTAAGTCTATGGGCATTTTCCCTTTTAAACAACTAATGTACCGGTGGCAGAAGTTATCACACAGTTCATGAACCTGAATCCGAGAAATAACAAAACAAAATACACACACATCAGATGGCAAGGTTTCCGAAACTAGTAACACGGGTTATGTACGTGTGGGGAGGCTGTGGTTACAGGCATTATTTAAAAACAAGGAAACAATAGTGAAATTGTTCATGCACTTATTATTCTCTAGAGACTGAAGCAACAAGTATTTGAACAAGGGGAAAATACGCAGTTAACATTAGCAAATAACTCTCCGGATGAAAGGCTCTGTATCACCTTACTACAGGACCATACTTTCATTCTACAAAAATATAATCTTATACATACATACATATATACAGTGTTGCATTAAAATGTGGTACCTATCGCAGCTACTGTAACGGTCTAACACGCGGTGTACTTGTTCATATTGTTTGATCTGATTGCTTTTAAAAATAATTCACATTTCCTTGATAACAGATTCATTCTCTGAACTGCAAAAAAAACAACTGCACCGTCTTTTGCGCTCAGACCTGAGTATTCTGTATGACCCAGTGAGTTCAGGGTTTGAGCTGCGACTTTGCAACACTGTAAAATGAATGTTACATTCAAACCCAAAGCCACATCAAAGAAACACAGCGGTCTACAACTTGAAGCCAGACACTTATAAACCCAAACGCCTTGTGTATATGAAAAGGGCAAGCGTGTACAGGCAGAAATCTTAATCTATGAACCTGTCGGAATAGTCTCTTTCGGTTTTAATACAAGGGTGAAAACTGAGGCGCGGCCGGCAAGCGACAGGAACGCTCCCTATTTTAACAACACTGGCACTTTGATGCCATCAATATATCTCCTAACAATTCAAGAAATAGATTTCAGGCTTATAAGTTTGATTTACAGTTAACCATAGTCTGACTAATATTTTAAACCACACATGGATTTGGAATTGAGCGAGATTGAAAAGGGCAACAAAACTTTTTTTTACCTTTTCTAACTCCAAGAGGTGGAACCTTAACACTTGTATAGCTTGAATCATCTGCAAATGTATCATATATGTTAGACATGCAAAATAGAAATCCCAATCTTTCAGTCGAAACTCATATCAGATAACATGATGAATTTAAAAATAACTTTAAACAGAGCAGAACGCTTACAATTAGGCAAACTTCGAGGGTTATTTTGAAATAATCACGTAATAATATTCAGGCTTTGTGGAGTGTTTTCGTGTTCAAACATCCATTGGGGATTTTAAAACAAACACTAACCGGATTTTTTAAAGATAGACTCTAAGTCGAATGGGGGGCTTCAGTCGGGATCACAAATCTCAAGCCGCGGTCGAGGCAGCTTTCCGGTCTGTTATTTGCCACCTCACGGAGAATTTGCAAAATCGGTCGGGTCGAAAGTGCGGGGATTTCTTAAGTGGCTCCCTCTTGCTAAGCAGTTATTTCCTGAATCACCCCCAACCCACCATCTCCCTTTAAGCCTCCTGCGGCTGACGAGCGGGTTTGTAATAAGTCATTCAGCAAGCAATGTTTAAACTCGAATGAGCGCTTCAGAAATATATTTTAAAAAGGTCATTTATTTTAGGGCAGCACTAATTAAAATCCAACCCCAGAAGGTCATCTCAGTTCGAACAGTCACAATGGGCAGTGATTTCTGTGCATGCAGCGAAGCCACGTGTAATATACATCAAATCGAAAATGTGTTAGAAAGATCACAAAGTGTTGAACGCCTTACCAAGTTATCCAGTTCGGGATTAGAAGAGAACAGTGGTTTTTCTGCGCGGACCTAAACAATAAGTGAAATAAATGAGCTCAATGCAATGTACTAAGAGTTTGTAAAAGTCTTAAGCGTCTCAGAAGGCAAGGTGTGCTTGCTAAATAAACAGCATGTAGAACACAATTAGTACATAAATGATATGTAATTACTTGTAATTTGACACATTTATTAAAATGCTTGTGTGTTGCACAGATGTACACCTAAAGACGATTTTACAGGTTACATTTAAGGGAAAAAAACTGCTGCAAGACTGTTATCATAAGTGCTAGTATGTCTTTTTTTCCCCTCATCATATTGTATCTCAGTTTGTAAAAAAGATGAATTGTAGACCTGCTTTGCGAATACTGCTATGTCCTCGTTAAAGGAGTCAGACGAGCAGACGTCACCGCCTGCTACGCCGGGTTCTCGTGGAGTGCAGGTCGCTAACTCACATTTCTCAAAAACCAGCGCTAACAGAGGAAATAAAGGATGCCTGCAAGACAAGGAGGAGTTCGGTCAATTCCTTTCAGTTCTGAAGCACACGAAACCCTTAAAACTATGTATGATTTCTAGTGGCAATGAAGACAGTCTGCCCCCTCTTTCTCTCTCTCTCCGTCTAGAACAGACCACTTCATTCTTGCAATTCACTCAGCAATTGGCAATTTACAACTGAAGAACCGGATTGCTCCTTACAATTTCCCAGGTACCGACTAAAATTGGGATTTGTATTTTAACAATACTACATAGTTATTCACCCCACTAAGTTAAGCAACAAGGCAGCAGCCATTTTGAAGTAAAACATAACTTAACAGAACAGAAACAGTGCAAAAAAAAACTTGCAGCTTCCGGTCAGTCCAGAAAGCTATAATCATTAACG